ATAAAATCTAAATGGCAAGTTTCCTGTTGAGTTTGCAAAATGGGTCCAAGAGGCTTTTTTTGTCCTGGCATGATCCATATACTTACTAATTTTAAAAATGCCAGGTTGAATATGCTGCGGGACCTGAATTTTTAAAATATTGTAGGGGGCGCCATTGAGCCATTGAGCAATGCCATCCAACAAAATCAAAATCCATCATCTCCTTTTGCCACTTAGCTTTTTTCTACCAAGTGTCATGGCTGTAGAAGGGATTGAAGCCCCTGAAAGAAACGACTTCCTGTTTCATGGCGAAAAACAAAAGAATCGCCATGGCTACAGCTTTTGACGCAGAATTTTGAGCCGCACAAGGTAGCATAGCAAAGGTCTTAGGATGTTTTACACCAATTTTGAGGGTGATAAGGCAAGGCATTGTATTTGGATTTGAGAGATACATGTTATGTAAAGTATCTTACATAAAGTAGGATAATTAAACATACAGAGGTCGGTTTAGAGAGAAATTGATGCAGCACAAACCTCGACATTCTCCTCACAGGCCGACCACAGCTGAGGGCTCCGTCATTCTCTCCCACCATCTCCTTTGTGCCGCGGAGTCAGTCATTAGTGACCGCTGTGCTCTTAATGTTTACTAATGCACGCACTCCCATTGTCAACAACAACATCAATATGTTCCTGCAGAGGAGGCTGAAGGCTGCAGTGACTCATCTGACGCATGACACAAAGAGAGGGACCTTGCCACATAAAAGGTTCACAGTTTAGGAAGGGTCGACGTTATCGGAGCCAGTGTGGTTGTTTACTGACCACAGCAACGTGCAGGTAATCAGTCGGGGAAGTTTTAATGTACCTGGGAGCTGAAGCACAACAGTACAACAACTTTGCCTCTGATATGTGCAAGAGTGTGATCGACGGGAGTGGTCAGGGTATAATTTATGTTTCTTCACTTTGTGACACAAAAAAACTCAAATCAATGTTTTGAAATCGAGTGCATTGTCACTGCTCTGCTTTTATTTCTGCTCTTGCACTTTAATGTCATCATATCTCGTCCATTTTTTTTAATCATTTATTGCAGCGCTCTCTTTCACTCTCTTGACCTCCTGGACGTTATTTCTTGTAATGTCAAAGAGTCCTTGACCGAAACGTTCCCTGCGACCTCGGGCAGAGTAAACAGCTTCGGTCTGTTGTTGTGAATTGAAAATCGAGGATTATTCTGCTCAAAAATAAATATATAAATTTAAAAGTGTTGTTAACCCCTTTGTAATTTCCGTTTTCGTCATTCTCTTTTGTTGGAGGATCAAAGCGCCCGGCTCACACGTTCCTTTTCTCTTTTGATGATCTGGATCTTTTATCTCTTCCTGCCCAGTTTTCCTCTTTCTTGTTTCATCCTCTGAATAAGTCACGGGTTGGTCTAATTTGACTTCACCTTTGCTCTGTGATACAAGTTTATCCACAGTTTCCATCATCCAATTAGAGAGATGACTCTAATTTCATTGTTTTTCCACAGATCTCATTTCCTGCTTTTCTCGTTGAAACCTGAATTGGATGGCGCTCCTCTCGTCTGTTATGGCAGCTGAAGGCCAAATTGACTTCTTAATGTCCTTGATTTGAATGGGCCTCTTACCTAAAGAAATTTGTTGCCTCTTATTCACCCAAGGTCAGTTTTTATTGAAGCACATCTCTGAGTGATGCTGCAGAGGCATTACATAGAACATGTAAAATATTCACAGCATTGTTGTGAATAAACTGGAACAGGAGCTTCCTCTCTCAGACTGCACACAGGAAAATAATAAGTTGGTCACAAAATTGCTTCAAGGTTAAATTGAACTCTGGCTGGATGCACTCCACGTTTCCGCAGAGGCGTTCTGACCTGCTGTCATCCAGTTTTGGTTTTCAGAGATTTTTCAGAGACTTGCAAAGTACAGAGCCACGAGTCAATTCCTTTATAATATGTGTCTAAACTTCTCCCCTGATTGCAACTGTGCAAAACTTTTAGACAGCTTCTGAAATCATCATGGCAACAGTTGTTACGCGCGTTAGATGTGTTTTTCCCTTTCAAACACGTTAGGTATACGAACGAGAGAAACATCGGCAGGAAATAACCGAACACCTCCACCTGACAGATAGCTTTAAAACGTCACAAAAGGCTCCTGACATATAAAATCAAAGCCATACTGTATAAACTTTGAGGCCCCGGTAACAGGTTCAACTTCAGGGATACTCTAAGTGGAAGAACTTGAAGAAATGCCTACGAAGATCTGACTACATCAACACATCTCACATCCCCTAACCCATTCAACAAAGCAAAAACATTTGAGAAAAAAAGCAAAATCATTCAACTAAACATTTAAAGGAGCAATATGTAACTCTGACCCTAGTGTTTAAAATGTATACTGCAGTCTAAATTCTAAACATCATAGAGATCTGTCCCCCCCCCTCCTCTCTAGAGTGGATGCTCACTCAGGTCACCATGTGGTGGACTCTGAAGCTTCAGTGTTTATCCAGCTCTGCATGGGTCTGTAAACCTTTCTGTGTTCTAACCTCTCTCCATTTTTCAAAAGCATCTCCAATATTGATCCTAGTTTGAGCACGTTTCTGCTGTGTGTGTGTTAGAGAGAGCTTGATGCTAGCTCACTGAACGGAGCTTGGGCTGGAAGTACATCACATGGCCTGTATTTCAGTATGTCGCTTACGGCAAACTAACTTACGTTAGTATGCTGTATGTATATTTTGAGTAGTTTGTGGTTTCAGACACAGCCTGGGTTTTGGGGTTACTTTTAGGGTCAAGAATGGGGTCGAGTTGTCCGATGATATTTCGTCAGAGGCCAGAGTCTAAACTGCTGCAGATCACACCAAACTAATATACAAGTACATCCAAACATTAGGTTCAATGTATATAACATGCAGAAGCTAACACCATCCTTAAGTGTGTGTCAGGATGTGTTTTAAATGTGTTTAGAAGGTTTTAAGGTACTTTAGCTATGATGCTCATGAGCGCTAGCTTAGCTCATCGCCACGTTCATATAGCCGTCTGTCATGGCTTGTCCCAAGCTCCATGTTGTTTTGCTAGTTTTTAAAGCTCCTGCATATCTCTTAAAATAACTGTGAGTTCATGAAGACTGTTCGTTTTCATATTTTGTACTTATTTTCTTGTAAAATGTGTAACGCTAACTCCGCTAGCGTCGCCGTTTCTCTATAGGATTTCCCATGTTGTTTGTTAGCATAATGCTAAGCGAGGATTGATCTCCTCCTGTATGAACCTTAATAAGAAGCTCTTAAGTAGCAGAACCGAGTTATTTTATATTTGTTTAAAGAATAATAACACACAGAAATGTTTATTTTGTAGTTTTGAGAACTTTTGCATGTAATATAAGACGAAGTATAAGTTTATGTATATTTCTGTGCATATTGTGTTGAAATGTGAATGAAATGTTGTTTTTGAAGAAAGAAATGTTATTTACAGGTGAGTAAATGTCACAAATCACATACATGTGGTCTATATGTACATTTATCAGTTTGATGTACGAGTCAGGAATCGGTCAGCTCAGGCTGAACACCTTCTGCCCCTTGGTGGTAAAAAAGTCTTTGAAAGTCGGAGCAGCTCAGCTCAGCGTCTCAGTGCGGATTAAGCGGAGCCTCCTCTCTGACTGTAATGACTCATGAAGCAGCTGATGACTCTTAATTAACGCTCTGTGTTCTCTCCTCAGTGTGTGTGTGTGTGTGTGTGTGTGTGTGTGTGTGTGTGTGTGTGATGTGTAAACAGCAGGTCAGAGCAGGTAATTGCAGCTCTGTGTGCTCGCAGTGACAGCTTCAGGCACAGGACAAGTCTTAATTAATGCTTCACGAGGATCCTATCATGTCACAGTGAGGAGGCTGCACTCACCCAAACGTCTCCATGCTCACATCTGACATGAGAGGGTTTTTAGATTTCTCTCTTCTGCATGAAGTCCCCATCACGTTGTTATCAACATCAGTACTTAGTTTTAGGCTGCAAGTGTCTAAAGAGGATTTCTCTTTGCAAAACTAAAAGAGAACTTTACAAGGAGAACTCTTGTTACCATCTTATTGGATTGGTCGATCTCTACATCCTCCTACATGGATGCTGTTTTACTACAGACTGCAAAACAAACCGCCCTCTCACAGGGAAAATCTGGAAAACCTTGAATGTGAAAAATCTCATTAAGCAAAATGAAGCATTTGTAGGTTGTTACTTTTTTTTTTTGGCCTTTATTTTGGAGGTAAGACAGTGGAGAGAGAGAGAGAGAGGAAAGATGTGTGAAAGGAGCCAAAGGTCAGATTCTGATTCCACAAGCTGCCGGCTTGGACTAGGGCCTGATTGATTTAGTATGTTTGGGGATACCGATATTAGGAAGAGAAACAATTCCGATACAGATATACCAACCGATATATCGCTTAGATCTAACTTAATCTGTAGAGACAGATCGATGTACACACATATTACTGCATATTGATTGTACCCGACCTAAAAAGCCTCTGCATGTTTCTAATAAGCTCCACGAGCAGAAACGGGGGGGGGGCCAGCTCTCTACAAATGTTTAGAATTTAGACTGCAGTACCCATTTTAAACACTAGGGGCCACAGTTACATATTGCTCCTTTAAATGTTTTTAGATGTTTGTAGTCAGATCTTCACAGGCATTTCAAAAAGTTATTTTACTAAAAGTATCCCTGAAGTTGAACCTGTTACAGAGGCCTCAAAGTTTATACAGTATGGTTTTCATTTTATTTTATATGTCAGGGGCATTTTGTGACTTTTTAAAGTGTAAAATCTGATTTGAAAGTTGACTCCAGCTGCGAGAAAATGTGGCAAGGAAAGGGTTTAATATATTCCTCTAAGATGAAGAATAAAAGACAGAGTAAAGAAGGTAAGATACTCGAGTGAAGTAGGACAGAATCGTCTCAATCAGAAGTAAAACAAAACAATATTGAAACTCTGAGACTTCCCATGGCTGCCATTATCAGATGAGAAAAGACAAACAAAAGAAGTTGTCTCATTGATTCTCTCTTTATTTAAAGATTCTGCTTTCATTTGATCCTTCAGATGCTAACAAGCAGACATGATGTGTGACTGTGTTTCATATTAAATCAGAACAAACTGCTTCAGTGTGATTGGTCCTAAAAAATCCAACATGATCGTTTCTCAACCTCCTGTGTGTTTTTCCAGCCTCAGTGTGAGACAAAGTGTTCTGCTCTCCATCGGGCCTCAGTTCTCAGACTTTGTAGATCAGATTTATCTCAGATCAAAGACACACTAATGGACACAATGACAGACATACACAATTGGCTGCAGAAGGAAACTTCAAACCATCGAGCCACCGGTGAAAGCCTCCTGATCGACTGCTGCACAGCAGAGGACAGGAGGGTCCTACAGCGAGTGGTGAGGGGCGGCAGAGCGAGTGATGTAAACACTCGCTGTATTATAAAAGACCCCACCCCACCCTGGAGACTTTCTCTTCTGCCTCGCTCCCCTCTGGAAGGAGATACAGGACAATCTAAACACCAACAGACTGAGGAACGTTTTTTTTCCACAGGAAGTGAAATTCACCCACCGCCCCCAACCCAAAGACTGCAGACATTAGCTTCATTGTTTTTAACATTGTATTTACATTATTATTATTATTCCTGTGTGTCTGTGCTGCCACTGACAAGAGCTGCTCAACTGTTTTTCTTAGGTTGCATTGAAATGACAACAGCTCTCAACATGCTGACTTCTATCGAGTGCAAAGACTTTTAAAAAACACCCTTGTTTCTATGCAGTCTGCATGAAAATCTTCCTCTTATCATGATTCTGTTTGTCCATTGATTGGATACTTGAATGCCTCTCTGCAGTCGGTGGCTGAAATGATGTGTGTCAGAGCTCTTGTACGAGTTTTCCTCTGCAGCCATATTCAGCTCCAAGAAGAGAAAAGAGGAAAAACAAACGGAAGGATAAAAAAATCCTCACCAACCAAAAAATGTTCATAAAAAACATCCTGAAACTACTTTCATTTATTTATTTTTTTAGAAGATCTGGATCTTTGTTTTTGGTGAAATATGGGAAGCAATTTTTTTTACAAATGATACAATTGTGGCTCGCTGCACCAATGTAATGGATAAGGCAATTCTGACTGTTACTATAGCAACCCAGTGTGACTGTGCAGCAACTTCTCCACCATACTGTGTCACATTATTGCAGAGGGGACAGTAAAGACCCTGCGAAACATTTTACTGCACTCCTGATTGTTTCCACACATTGTCCATGTGGGACGCATGTTTGAACAAAATCGTCCAAATCAATTAGAACTTATTCATCAGATACGGGCGACCCTAAAAACCCTCATTTCAGTCTCGGAAAGAAACAAATATTTCAGCTGCTGTCTCTTTAAGGCCCCCCCTCCCCATGTGCCCACTTTATTCTGATTGGTCAGATCTCTGGAAACCTTCCAGATGGGCTGAACGCTGCAGGGTTGCCAGAGGAGGGCTGCTCTCCAGTGCTCGGAGAAGAGAGTCTATGAAAGAGTTTTCAGCGGCTTACCTAGAGGCTTGAAGCCGTCTGGTGGAATTCTTGGTTTCATATCGGGGATCTATTGCGTGATTTGCAGAACAAGCCGTTTAGCGCCCTCTGCAGACTCATCCTGGGATTACTCCAACATACGTTTATGAGTTTTAAGATGCCGGATCAGCAGAATAGGTCAAAAGTTAATTTGTTGGTTTAAAATCTGTCCGATGTTTCCATTTCTAATCCTTTCAGACTTCATCTTAAACGTGCCACAATGTTTTTCACATACAAATACAGGACCAATATTTCAGTTTAATCTTGCATCAAACATCTGGTCAATATACTGTATAACCAGGAGTAGAGTATAAAAGATTGTGATCTCTTTCTGCTGAATATTTGAGGACCAAAGCTGCAGTGTGAGCCAGAGGTTGAGAAACGACAGCTGGTGTCTCTGGTGTGATTTGTGGATGTTAGTAAATGATTAAGGAAAAAAGGCAGACTTCAGTGGCAGACCTGTGTGGTTCTGAACAGTTTAGGGTTTTCGTTATCGACCTGTTACAAAGTGGTCTTCAGAGAGGTTCAGTCTCTGGTGAGCGGTGCGGCCTCCAGAGGGAAGGAGACGAACTGGACTCGCTGCAGAAAGAGCGAGATGGAGGAGGAGGTCTGATGTCAGTAGGTGTTCTTCCAAGACCGGAAGTAAAGCTGAAGGGGGAGCAGGGGGTTTCTCTTCTGCAGACTGGGGTTGAAAACATCAAAATCCGCCCTCCTTACTCTCTGCAAGTAGTCCTCCAACACCACCTGCAGCACACGACACAACCACCGAAGAACAAAGTCAGAGAAGACGCACAATAACCTGAAATGTATCTAAACTGTCATATCAGTCTGAAGTGTCCTGCGGAGAATTAATTTGTGGTTTTGGTTAAAATCATAGAATAAAAAGGAGGTGGTATTTGGATTTTTAATGATGTCATTTACTCCTAGTCATCCTGGCGATGGCCTGATGTGGCTAGAGAGGTGACCTGAGTTGTTGGAAACCTGTTTGATGACGTCGTGGGGCCAAAAAGAACAGCTTCGGTTTTTGACTCGTTTAGTTGTTCAAAGTTATGGTCCATTCAGTTTTTTTTATATCTCAAAGGCATTGTGTAAGAGCGGTGATCTTGAAGGGTAGATAAAGTTGAGTGTCATCTGCGTAAAGGTGGTATGAGAGGTTTTGCTTCTGGATAATTTGACTTAATGGGAGCATCTATACAGAGAACACTACAGGACCTAGGATGGATCCCTGTGGTATCCCACAGGTCAGTCCAGATTGGGAGGATGTGGTGTTGGTTAAGTTTACAGAGAAGGTTCTGTTGTTCAGATATGAAGTAAACCAAGTCAGGGCTGTGACACCAACCCAATGATGCAGACGATTAACTAAAATGACAGGTCTGATGATGCAGTAAGGTCCAATAGGATCATGAAAACACAATTACCAGAGTCCATTTTACACTTGTAAAAAAGAGCATGTCTGAAAAACTTAAAAAATGTACAGAATGCAAATAACTTCTGAAGTTTGAGGAAGTATTTTGTTCTCTTTTCCTCGTTCAGAGTTGTTTTGGATCGACATGTTTCGAGCATTTATGAAGCAAAATTTGATGCAATAATATCAATCGAGCAATCAATTCCAAAGCTATTCTGAAATATATTGGTTCATAGACTTTAGCTTAGTTTGTACAGATTTTAGGGATATGATGCATTTGACAATACGCTTAAAAAAGACCTCACAGTAAGCTAACATACCAACGGTTTACAGACGGTTTCTGTTGCAGAGTTTGAAGAGTTAAAGAAATGATAAACTACAACTCAATAAAGAGCTTTACATTTGAGATTATTTTCCCATGACGTTGTGTTTTCTCTCAGCTCAGCAGATGTTTAAATAAAGAGTCATGGTGTGTGAAAGAGCTCGGCCGGTGTGTTTTCACCTCTCTCTCTCTCTCTCTCTCTCTCTCTCTCTCCCTCTCTCTCCCCCTCTCTCTCTCCCTCTCTCTCTCCCTCCCTCTCTCTCTCTCTCTCCCTCTCTCTCTCTCTCTCCCTCTCTCTCCCTCTCTCTCTCTCTCTCTCTCTACCTGCAACTCATCCGAAGTTTAATTTTCAGCGCGGTGAGAAAGCACGAGTGGCTGTGTCAGCTTTCTCACGTGGACTAGCACACTAAGCTGGAAAGGGACCACACACTCACACTCACACATTAACATCTGCACACACATGTAGCCCTCCCGTGTGTGTGAGTGTGCAGCACAGAGGTCTGCTGCAGCGTGAGAATCATGAGTGTTCACTGAGCAGGGCAGAGTGCTTCTCAGAGGCTCGCAGCTCGCTCTGTATGGCAGGTCACTACAGCAGCACCCAAACAAGAGGAACATTTACTGAGCTGTTTCCATCACACAGGAAACACGTTTACACAATTACATGCTTCAAAAACTGCAGCCACAGTGTCTTTCTGCTGCACAAAATGTGCAGGTTGAAGTGAACTAAACAGATGGAAGTGTTGTTGCTTACCGAAAGAGTCTTTATAAGAAACATCACTTTTTATTTGCGATAATTTATTTTTCCGGAGCAAACAGCAGTACTTTAATGCCTCATCTTTCAACAGAGACATCAGAAAACTCCCCCACAAATCATACCATGAGCGTGTTTAAAGACTCACTGTTTGAAGGAAGGCCGGAGTCGCAGCTCCTTGGATCTTGGAGCTAAATGATCGCGCCTGAAGGAGAGAGCACAACAAACAGAAATCAAATAATCAGAAAGATAATCACAGCTGTTTTTGTAGGCTAAAGTCACACTGAGTCAGATTGAGCGGAAAAATGTGGTTAACAAACACAGGACTTCTCAGGTAGCAGAAATGTCACACCCAAAAAGAAACCTCAACACGGCAGGAAAACAGATTTCTTTTTCAAACAACACAAGTACTGATCACAGCGGCCTGCGCTGAGCAGAGAGACAGATAGACTGCTTTCACTGCTGAGACAAAAAGCCTAAATTGTAGAAGCTAAATGTTGATATGACAATGTTCTGATGTTTTGCACATTGTGAATTTGAGGTCAAGGCTACATTACATTTTTTATCAAACGCTGCTGCTCACGACGTGTGCAAAATGTTGATTGACATACTTTAAAAAATAAAATCTTAATGTAAGGTAGGCTATATTTTAATATTACATCTGTATATATGTATATATATATATATATATATATATATATATATATATAAAATATGTTGTTTCACTCTAAATAAATGTAGTTTTTGCAATAAACATCTTGAATCTGCTGTAATCTGAGTGGAGGTGTTCACAGACTACAGCAGGCTGAGATGACGTTGCTATCGTTTAGTTAGCTGCAGACTACGCGCTCCAGCGTGTGTGCGCGCGCTTGTGTGTACGTGTGTGCAGCAATGTAGGCTATATGTTGGTGTGTCTCTGCGTGCCAGGCGATGCTCACAGACAGTCATGACAGTAGAGAGACGAGCAGGGAAAAGTAGCTGCAGCTAGGCTACATCAAATGCACGCGCCTGCACTTTCTTGCGCTCTCTCTCTCTCCCCTGCTCTCGCTCTCCAGCCCAAGTATTGTCTATGTGTGGGAAACTATTTTATTCAAAAAGAAAAGAAAACTACCAAAATACTTGACAGATTTGTGATGGGGTTACAGCGCCCCTTAGCCCCGGCGTAGCGCCAAGCTTGACTCAACACAATCAGAGAGGAGTTGAGTTCAGGTGTAAACATGCTGATATGGTTGTGTAGTCTGTGTGTTTGTGTACGTACGTGTTGTAGATGGACGTGAGCCTGACTGGCGATGTCGTACACCACGTCTCGGACGTTCTGCTCCCGGCTGCCTCGGATGAAGTCCTCCTGAGAAGCTCCGTGCTGCAGACACACAGACAGAAAACGACTTCACTTTGAGACATGGATGATCAATTTAAACAACAGAAGGATTTTTACTCCACTTCACACACACGAGATGGAGCTTCTCTTTAATCTGCTGAAGGGAAGGAAATTAAACTGTGACAAGACGCCTCCTGGTTCACAAGCAGCCGAGTGTGACATTGTTCTGAAGGTTGAACAACATGCAATCAGCCAAGACTTCAACAGACTACAGGAGGACACTTTCTGCTCAGGACTCCAATTATCTTTAAAGGTCCAATCAGTGAGCTGTATAGAGAGTGAGATGATAAAGGTATCTTACTCTCTGATCATTAAGGAAACATGCTATGTTGAAGTGTTGGCTTCTCTGACAACAATGCAGCAGCCAGTATGTCCTCCTTCTAACTTTAGATTCTGCTCCTGAATGCTCTGGATTTGTTTGGACCAGAGAAGGTAAGCGGCGCTTTTAAGGTGACCGCCCCACACGGCCGTTTTGGACGGCCCTCGGTTTGCCAGATATGAGAGCAGTTATCAGGTCAACAGGTGTTGCAGCGATGGAAGCGGTCAAGAGAAGTGGTTCAGATAGAAGTGATTGTACCCGACCTAAAAAGCCTCTGCATGTTTCTAATAAGCTCCACGAGCAGAAACGTGCTCAAACTAGGATCAATATTGGAGATGCTTTTGAAAAATGGAGAGAGGTTAGAACACAGAAAGGTTTACAGACCCATGCAGAGCTGGATAAACACTGAAGCTTCAGTGTCCACCACATGGTGACCTGTGTGAACATCCACTCTAGAGAGGAGGGGGGAGACAGCTCTCTATGATGTTTAGAATTTAGACTGCAGTACCCATTTTAAACACTAGGTGTCAGAGTTACATACTGCTCCTTTTAAATCCTCAACTTCGTCACCTGCAGTCTCCATTTTGGTTCATGATTAGCGCCGTTGTCTGCAGCTAGTATCCTGTCCTCGTTTCACACATACTTTCAGATGGTTTTCAACAGGATGGTCAAAACTTTGGTGGGAGCTCCAAGATACATTTAATGTCATTAAATATTTGGCAACTTTGTCCATTAATTAAAAGATAGTTTGGCTTGGCTCCGAGTGGTGGAGACAACGAGGTGGCGTCGGAGGAACAGAGGCTACAGGAAGGAGTGTGACGGTGGAGGAGGTCTGTGTGAGTGAGATTGGGATTTCTAATTGAATGTGGTGTGGGACAGGAAGACAGTGGAGGATTTAAAGGTCTGAGGAGATGGTGTCATGGAGCAGGTGCAGCAGAGTTCTGGATGTATTGGAGTTATCGAGGACTTTGGATGATGCACCGAGTACTGGTAGAAGGCGTGCTATGTTTTTAAGCTGGAAAAAGGCGGTTCTAGGGAGCTGGGAATATGCCTAGTATTATGTCCCAAGGCTCATGCACGTCCCAATCTGACTTCCTAAAAGATAAAAAACTGGCAGATCAACAGAAACAGAGACACTCTAAGTTCTGTAAATGGTTTTTCACTGGACGGTCTGAATGTGCGTCAAATGTCACAGAAACTTATTAACCTGATGATTCAAAATATTCTGCAGAACATTTTTCAGTAAATCTCCACCACAGACTCAAGCCGCCTGCGACACACAATGATTTGTCCAAGGCCGTCTCCGTGGTCGCAGATGGCCTTGGACAAAGCATTTGTCCAATGAAACGATCGGCTTCAAATATATTTCACACAATGGGATGACGACGGGCCGGCGCTGGATGGAGGAATCATTCCGCTGAATGACTTGTATGTACAGGAATAGTTGTTTGTTTATTATTAATGCTTATCAGTAACTAAACCAGACACAGGGCGATGTAGTCGGGGCACCACCCTGCAGCATCAACATTAAGAAGGTGACATTTTGATATTTCTAAGAATGAATCTTTGAAAGAGGATCTGGGTATCGTCATTATTCATGTGTAGGCTCCTTTCATCTTAAGAATAATGAGCAGAATGAATAATGATCATTCCAGCTTGAATCTAAGTGACATGGCTTCATCTGCTCTAATAGGGGACCTCAATTATCGACCTATTTCTGCTCAAAGAATAATTCCTCTCATTCTCCCAGGAGCTGGCCGAGGGCGGACAAAAGGAGAAGACGGAGGTTAAAATAATTATGATGGAAAGACACAGAAGAATCATTTTCTTGAGTCCTGCCACGTCAGAAACATATCAGAGTGTTTAACCAGCAATTATTACCCCGACGACTGCCGAGAGAAACCACTTACACAACTCAAAATCCACCAACCAAAAGCCAGCTACCAAGCTGATCAAAGAGAGAGATGCACTGATTGGATCAGGGTCGACACCAACGATTAGTCGATTTCCAATACTCATGTCTGTTTTCCAAAATGACTTATGAGATGTAATTGTTGTTATTATCTTTGAGTCCGTCTGTCTCATAAACTAAGCATGCTTCATCATCACGTAAAGCCCTGCATGTGTTGTATTCAGTGGTTATTCTAGAGTCTGTTGGGGGCCCCTTCAACCAGCGTTCATCACCATCATGTCTATCAGTGTCCCGACGCTTACTCTTACTCTACTCTCTTTTTTTTCACTCCCAGGCGGGTAATTCCTCTTCTTTTTCCTTCACTGACTTCCATTGACAAATGTTGGTTTTCAAAGGAGAGGGAGGGCTGTCAGATGGGGCCCTCCTTAGGGAGGTATCCTACTGTCAATGCAAAACCACTGCTGTGGCTTAAAGTTGTCGGCCCTAGGGGGCCCCCTAATGGCCTGGGGTCCCAAACCAGTCACCTGCCTTGCCTGTTGATAAACCACGCCTCTGGTTGTATTAGGACGTTCGGTACCAGAGGTAACAGTGCTGAGGCCAGGTTAGTCCTGGAGCAGTGTGAGAGCAGACCAACGAGGGAACGGGGAGCGTTATTTTAATAACTATCGACTCATTTTGAGGATTATTCAAGCAGAAATGTCCAGCTTCCTTAACGTAGGAATTGACATGTTCTTGTCATTTAGTTAATGACAAGTCCTTCATTTTAAGATGTTGCTTTGACTGAAGAAGCTATTTGGAAACATTTGGTTCTCTTGTGATGTTGTGATGAGCATTTTTTAACAACTTTGTGACATTTAATAGACTCACCAGTCCATTGATTTATTGCAGAAAATAATCAGCTATAGCAGATTACTGAAGTTATTGGAATTTACAACCTAAAAATTTAATCTCAACTCAAATAAATAATGTCATTTGAAGGAAAAAACTGAGAACTAGGACGTCTCACAAATAAGGCTTCGATTACATTTTTAATTATTCAAATGCTTGATCTCTTTTTCAGGTATTTTTTACTGTCGTCATATTTCCTGCTCCTGCTCCTGCTGCTGAGGTTTCAAAGCTTTTATCATTTTGTTGAACTTTAAACCTTTATATGCTTGTGCTTTCCTCGTGTGTTTCTGTTGTTGCTCTGAGCCTTTGTAAACCCTAGTTTTAAAAAAGTGCTGTAAAAAAGGAGCCATCACAACGTCATTATTATCGGCTGTTCTGCAGAAAATGAAGACTAATGCAGCCATGAAAAATGCAAAACTACATGTAAATCTACAGAAAGGTAGATCTTTTTTTTGTAGACTATGATTGAATTCTGATGTGTTTTGGGATAAAGTTGGTTATTTGTCCGTATCTGTTTGTTTTAATGTGCTCCTCTGTGATTCTCCGTCACACATGATCAGTCAGGTATCTCAGGGAAATATCACCGTCTGTTTGTTTTCAAGCAGAGTTGACTCTGGTTGCTTTCTAATTAGGGAAGCTTTACTTTGTCAGGAATGTAAAAAAAAATCCCTCTTGACAGAAATGATGAGCTCGTGTTTGAGTGCAGAGTATCTCAGTGTGTCCACAGCGCCCTCTACAGGCAGCAGAGTGGAGGTGATCTGAGGTGAGCGTCCTCCTCCAGCTGAAGACTTTAAGGGCAGAGCCTGCGTGCTTCATGTGCACTGTAAATATCCTCCCCCCCTCCCCTCCCCCCTTCCCCCTCCCCACCCCTCAGGTCCTCCAGCAGCAGAAACAGCAGCAGCAGTTTGTTGTTCTGTTTTTGGGACAGATGGCCCGGACTAAGGTTGCAAATTGTTTGCAGCATGGTTTGTTTATCTGCAGCCTGCATGAATCTCAGGCAGCAGGCTTTTCTGCTCTGTGCCATATGGTTGTTGTTGTGTAACTACCAGTGACTGTTTCATTACAGCTTACCAACAATATCGTCCGACGTCATGTCAAGGCCGCGTCATGAGTCAGCTCAATGTGTGCAGGAATGTGTGTTTGACTGCTCTGTGTTTTCTTTAAGGGACAAAGTCTGAGCTTAAACCAGCAGAGTTGAAGCAGTTCATGTTTTCATATCCAGTAAATCCAGTGTTTTCCTTTTTAACCATGGATCCATTTTTGGACATTTTAGGGGTCTAATTGACTAACGGGTCAGCAGAGAAACAGGCTGTGATCGCTGCAATTAAATCCTAAAAACCTGTGTCCACCTGGCGTTTCCTTCTTGGGAGGAAAAGCACTGGCGTGGATGAAGCTCTTGTGCTGGGAATAAAAGCGCTGTACTCACAGGATGACCAAAAAGAAACCCCGCTGACTAGCAACATCAAGTGTCCCCCCAATCCGCCTCCACAAGCCTTCCTGTCTCTGTTGTGATCGTTTTTTATCGGACATATCTTAAAGCTCTGTGTATACGACGGCCAACACCAGCTTCTCCAACATCTTCTTGGTTACCAAGGCGACGAGTCCTGACCGATCTACTGTACGATCGGCTGGTTGAAAAGAGTTCAAGTGAGGTGGACCCTCAACTTTGGGTAAAATTATGACTGAAGATTGAAGTTATTTTAAAGCGTTGTTTCTTATTGATACAACTGATTATTTAAAATATCTGAGATTGAATCGTTTAAAAACGTGATATTGAAAAGTATAAAAACCTGACCTTACATTTCAACTCAGGAAGAATTTTGTGTTTCATGTTTTGAAGTGAAAATGTGTTTCAGTTTCAGGGTGCCGGATGGCATAGCGGTTATGTCCCAGTCACAGGGACCATGGGTTCGAGTCCGACCTCGGCCCTTTGCTGCATGTAATCCCCCTCTCTCTTCTCCTAATGTTTCCTGTCTCTCTTCAGCTGACCTGTGTCTTTTTAGAAAAACTTTTTTAGGTGCAAAGATTTGTTCTTTTTGTGCTGTGAATGAAAATGGTATCACCTGTGCTTTATAGTATAAACTATTGGGAGAACTGCAGGTAAGTAAATCTCACCATGAAGGATTTTAGATCTCGAGATTCATCAAACAGGCCGGACTTTGTGAGCAGGTTTCAGTTCTTTCAGACTCACGAGGAGCCGATCTCTCTGTGAAGCAGGAACTCACCAGCATGCAGACGTCCATGGGGAGGTAGACTTTCCGTCGGCTGCTGTGATGAGGAGTCGCTCTCAGACACGTCACGATTCCATGAGCTTTACCGATGTGACTCGCCGCGTGGTCGGCATGGACGTCTTTCACACCTGTAAAAAAAAAAAAGGTAAGAGAATCTCACCTATTAAGACGAACACCTGTCCTCATCCCGAACATTTCTTCCTTTCACTCTGAAAGTTATGTAATTTATTATAAGAACAGGGCGGGTACATGATCTACCTGCTGGCCTCACCTGTCCTCACCTGTCCTTACCTAAACTCTCCAGCAGCCTCACCTGTCCTCACCTGAACTCTCCAGCAGACTCACCTGTCCTCACCTAAACTCTCCAGCAGCCTCACCTGTCCTCACCTGTCCTCACCTAAACTCTCCAGCAGCCTCACCTGTCCTCACCTGTCCTTACCTAAACACTCCAGCAGCCTCACCTGTCCTCACCTGTCCTTACCTAAACACTCCAGCAGCCTCACCTGTCCTTACCTAAACACTCCAGCAGCCTCACCTGTCCTCACCTGTCCTTACCTAAACACTCCAGCAGCCTCACCTGTCCTCACCTGTCCTTACCTAAACACTCCAGCAGCCTCACCTGTCCTCACCTGTCCTTACCTAAACACTCCAGCAGCCTCACCTGTCCTCACCTGTCCTTACCTAAACACTCCAGCAGCCTCACCTGTCCTCACCTGTCCTTACCTAAACACTCCAGCAGCAGGTATATCAGGGACGACTGTGTGTTCTCTGAGTACGTCTCCAGCTCCTGCAGGTTTCTGTACGCTCGGTCTTCCAGATCTTTCTCCTGGAGGGACAGAGAGACTTAGGATTATTTATTTTTAAAAGCACCTGTCTTTCCTTTAAATCAGGTGTAAATGTTCAAAACATGATCACAGAGCTCCACTTTTAAAGATTTATAATGAAGAGACTTACTCTCTCTGTTATGATCCTCAGCAGCCATCTCTTCGTCAAGTAATGTTTCCTCACCGCCTGAAAAACATCATCAGGGCTGTTACGATACAAAACCCTTTTTATATTATCTTATTATATTATCTACTCGGGGGAAGTTTGTCTTGGACTCCAAGCGCTGTACACATTTAGCATAAAAACAACAATGAAAGCAAACAACAACAAAGAACATACAAACACAAAACATATGGTATTTTTTTTCTAGGCTGCGTAAACATGTTTAAATGAAAATAACAGACATGACAAAGGAGACAGCAGACACGGTGTTGGAGCGTCAGAGGAACGTTTAGCAGGTCAACAGTGTGTGACTGTTGAAATGCTTTCCTGTAATGCATGCAATGAAAGTACCTGTTTCACCTGTATACTTAGAAACACTAAAATGTATAGAGGAGTAAATGTAAGTTTAAGAGAACTGCTGTGGGAGGAGGATACACTATCTTGGTCTAAACCTGCAGCTAATAACATCTAAGCAAATAGCCAGGTTGTGAAACCTGACACTGAACATTAACAGCTAGTCTAACTGGATTGAAGGCATCTTGAGTTGTGGTGCAAATCAATAATAAAAAGGCACACAGCATGTGGATTTAGGGGGGCTACATCTGGACCCTTAATGCTGCACAAACACACAAACCATTCAGAGTAATCCAAAGTTTTAACCAGCTAGTTATCCCAACCACACACCCCCCATGTTTGCCATTACATGTGTGGCTCAGTGGTAGAGTCGGTCGTCTCTCAACTGCAGGGTCGAGGGGTTCGATCCCCAGCTCCTGCAGCCACATGATGATGTGTCCCTGGGCAAAGACACTTAACCCGCTGCTTCATCAGCAGTGTGTGAATGTGTATGAATGGATGACTTAATACTGATCAGACTCTTTTCAGGAGTCAGAAGATTACAAGCTCAAGTCCGTCTACCTTTAACGAGGTTCATGTTAACCAGCTGGAGAGCAGAAAATGGGTCAAGAAGTAATAAGAGTGTATGAGTCATTCCAGACTTAAATTCAAACTGAGCTCATCTGCAAAACCTTCTTTGACTTTCTTTCTTTCTATGTGTTTATTGGAGTTACTTTTAGTCACAGGTTTTGAAATCAAAAGTTGAATTGGACCGAGCGTTCATCTCTCCGTCACACTGGTTGACATTTACCCTCCACAGCTCGGCGCTGACCGGCTGATTCGGTGGATCGTCTCTGTAGATTTCCTCTATGGCCGTCTTCCAGAACTGCATTCGCATCAAACCAATGGTCTTCTGGGAAACTGAGTCCTTTACCTTGTGGAGAAAACAAGTACAAAGGGGGCCGGCTGTTTGACAAGCTCGATTGAACACTTCATGATTCTTATAGTTTGACATTCATCATTTTGTAGCATCAGGAGCAGCAGTAGAAAGAGTTCTGATTGTAACCATGGTAACAGTAGCAGCAGTGTATTGAAAACAGCAGCAGGTGTTATTAGTCCCTCTGTAGGAATACCTGCCTGTGCCAGCTCCACATTGAAGGCTCTCAGAGCCAAAGAGGAGCGCCGCGCCTCCTCTGGGAGGAGGAGGGAGGACACAAAGCCGTCATAGTCTCTGGACCTGAGGAGGAGGAGAGGCAGCATTAGATCCCTAACTATTTGAAATGATATATCAGGGCTGCACAAGAGATCGTTAATCACAATAAACACATCACAAAGGTCTGGATTTATGAAGTTATTTATGCAAACACGCTCTGCTTTCTCACTCTGCATGTCTACATTTTACTCGCTCTCACACTCTGCGACCTTCAGAGTCACTGGGTTTTTTTGCTTTCTGGATTTTGGCCTCCAACAGCTGCTGGAATGAGATCATTTACAGTGTGAGGGATCAGAAGTTCAGACTCAGAGCACACAAGCTCCTCATGCCTTTCCAGAGAAAAGACTCAACTGTGACCAAAGATCAGGAGAACTGCATCTTATAAATGTTGTCACACAAAGTCGAACACACTCGTTAGTGTTGTAGAACTCAAAATTGGTCTTGGTATCAAGACCGGTCTCGAGGAAGGTCTCAGTCTTGCGTCGGAATCGAAAGCATTTATACTCTACCTTGCCTCCGTCTCGGACTGGGCGGACTCCAGATTTTAAATCAAGGCCGGTCAAGACCACCACTGAGAGGCTATATGTCCACGTCATCACTGAGATTAGAAGAAAAACGCCTCTTTCTAAAAGAACAAAGGATTAAGTTTAATTTATTCACACTTAGATTTTTATCTCCCGGTTACATCTGCAACCTTCCAGGTGTTACGGTCTCAGTGAGTGACACGCCCCCTAAACACAAGATGAGGATTCTTCAGAGATATTCATGGTCTCGGTCTCGGTCAGTGTGGTCTTGACGTGTCTGCATGTTTGATGGATTGCTGTTGAACATCATTAAAAACATGTTGGATATGAACTGCTCCTCTTGCTACGAGACAAACCTGCCGTCAGTGTGTGAGGCTCAATGTGGATGTCACAGTTTAAATAATAACCTCAGGTGCAATAAGAGATGCAGAAAACAGATTTATATTTTCATCTCATTGTTCAGTGTTCCCCTTTGTTATTGTTTTTGTATTATATCTTTAATACAGTTTATAACTTCTGTACACTTTATTTTAAATCACTTTGCTGTTACTACAACTTATCTATTTTATTTTAAAATGCTTTTCTATTTTATACATCATTTTAACTTATCTTGTAGGAGCTGACTCAGTACCTGTGCTGTACCTGTACCTGTGCTGTACCTGTGCTGTACCGGTACCTGTGCTGTACCTGTGCTGTACCTGTGCTGTACCGGTACCTGTGCTGTACCTGTGCTGTACCGGTACCTGTGCTGTACCTGTACCTGTGCTGTACCTGTGCTGTACCGGTACCTGTGCTGTACCTGTACCTGTGCTGTACCTGTGCTGTACCGGTACCTGTGCTGTACCTGTACCTGTGCTGTACCTGTGCTGTACCTGTGCTGTACCTGTGCTGTACCGGTACCTGTGCAAATGACAATAAACATCTATTCTATTTTAAATGTCAAACAGGAAGTCAGAGATGTTTCTGCAGGTTTTTAGTAACCACACATCTTCAGGGTGATAATGAATCATTAAATATGGCAGCTTGGTCAGTGTTCATATATTGAGCTGCAGAAGTAGGTGTTGTTGATGAGTTAGCTAGCTTGTGTTGTTAGCATTGAGTCAGACTCACCTGACCAGGTCCAAACAGAACTTCTCGTTGACCCGGAAGTCGGTGCTGCTCGCCGCTCTCTGGATACAAACACCGTGTGGAACTATGTTTCTGTGCAAAGCGTGATAAAGTGACGTTTTACTGCTCAACAATCCATGTTTAACACTGATGCCTGCTGCCATGTTCCCCTTCAACTTTCCCCTTGTGTCACATCATAAACATTCCCCCCGGCAAACAAAAACCGCCGGATTTTACGTTCCGCTCCGGTTAATTAGCCGAAATCTTTTCACATGATTATGCATCGGAAAAAAATCAGAATAGATATAATAATAATAATAATAATAATAACTTTATTTATACAGCACCTTTTAAAAAAACAGGTTTACAAAGTGCTTTGACAAACAGCAAAAACAAGAACAAACTAAACCAAACACAGAAGAACATAAACAACAACAAGAACAGAACAAATACAAAATACTAAAAATAATTAAATACAATTCAACAGAAAAGAACCCAAAGTGCACGATACCCAACAGACATATAGAACCCGACCATCACAAGAACCATCATAAGAACCATCACAAGAACCATCATAAGAACCATCACAAGAACCATCATAAGAACCATCACAAGAACCATCACAAGAACCATCATAAGAACCATCATAAGAACCATCACAAGAACCATCATAAGAACCATCACAAGAACCATCATAAGAACCATCACAAGAACCATCACAAGAACCATCATAAGAACCATCACAAGAACCATCACAAGAACCATCACAAGAACCATCACAAGGACCATTATAAGAACCATCATAAGAACCATCATAAGAACCATCACAAGAACCATCACAAGAACCATCACAAGGACCATTATAAGAACCATCATAAGAACCATCACAAGAACCATCACAAGAACCATCATAAGAACCATCACAAGAACCATCACAAGAACCATCACAAGAACCATCACAAGGACCATTATAAGAACCATCACAAGAACCATCACAAGAACCATCATAAGAACCATCACAAGAACCATCACAAGAACCATCACAAGAACCATCACAAGGACCATTATAAGAACCATCATAAGAACCATCATAAGAACCATTATAAGAACCATCATAAGAACCATCACAAGAACCATCATAAGAACCATCACAAGAACCATCATAAGAACCATCACAAGAACCATCACAAGAACCATCATAAGAACCATCACAAGAACCATCACAAGAACCATCATAAGAACCATCACAAGAACCATCACAAGAACCATCACAAGAACCATCACAAGGACCATTATAAGAACCATCACAAGAACCATCATAAGAACCATCATAAGAACCATCACAAGGACCATTATAAGAACCATCACAAGAACCATCACAAGAACTGTTATGCTGTTATGGTGTTATGGTGTTATGGTGTTATATTGTTATGCTGTTATGCTGTTATGGTGTTATGGTGTTATGGTGTTATATTGTTATGGTGTTATATTGTTATGCTGTTATGCTGTTATGGTGTTATGGTGTTATGGTGTTATGGTGTTATATTGTTATGCTGTTATATTGTTATGGTGTTATGGTGTTATGCTGTTATGCTGTTATGCTGTTATGGTGTTATGGTGTTATGGTGTTATATTGTTATGGTGTTATGGTGTTATGGTGTTATGTTGTTATGGTGTTATGGTGTTATATTGTTATGGTGTTATGGTGTTATATTGTTATGGTGTTATGGTGTTATGGTGTTATGTTGTTATGGTGTTATGGTGTTATATTGTTATGGTGTTATGGTGTTATGGTGTTATGTGTTATGGTGTTATATTGTTATGGTGTTATGGTGTTATATTGTTATGGTGTTATGTGTTATGGTGTTATATTGTTATGGTGTTATGGTGTTATATTGTTATGGTGTTATGGTGTTATGGTGTTATGGTGTTATATTGTTATGGTGTTATGGTGTTATGGTGTTATGGTGTTATGGTGTTATATTGTTATGCTGTTATGCTGTTATGGTGTTATGGTGTTATGGTGTTATATTGTTATGGTGTTATGGTGTTATGGTGTTATATTGTTATGCTGTTATGCTGTTATGGTGTTATGGTGTTATATTGTTATGCTGTTATGCTGTTATGGTGTTATGGTGTTATGGTGTTATGGTGTTATATTGTTATGCTGTTATATTGTTATGGTGTTATGGTGTTATGCTGTTATGCTGTTATGCTGTTATGGTGTTATGGTGTTATGGTGTTATATTGTTATGGTGTTATGGTGTTATATTGTTATGGTGTTATGGTGTTATATTGTTATGTTGTTATGGTGTTATGGTGTTATATTGTTATGGTGTTATATTGTTATGGTGTTATGGTGTTATATTGTTATGGTGTTATGGTGTTATATTGTTATGGTGTTATGGTGTTATATTGTTATGTTGTTATGGTGTTATGGTGTTATATTGTTATGGTGTTATATTGTTATGGTGTTATGTGTTATGGTGTTATATTGTTATGGTGTTATATTGTTATGGTGTTATGTGTTATGGTGTTATATTGTTATGGTGTTATATTGTTATGGTGTTATGGTGTTATGTGTTATGGTGTTATATTGTTATGGTGTTATGGTGTTATGGTGTTATGGTGTTATGGTGTTATATTGTTATGCTGTTATGCTGTTATGGTGTTATGGTGTTATGGTGTTATATTGTTATGGTGTTATGGTGTTATGGTGTTATGGTGTTATATTGTTATGCTGTTATGCTGTTATGGTGTTATGGTGTTATGGTGTTATGGTGTTATGGTGTTATATTGTTATGCTGTTATATTGTTATGGTGTTATGGTGTTATGCTGTTATGCTGTTATGCTGTTATGGTGTTATGGTGTTATGGTGTTATATTGTTATGGTGTTATGGTGTTATGGTGTTATGTTGTTATGGTGTTATGGTGTTATATTGTTATGGTGTTATGGTGTTATATTGTTATGGTGTTATGGTGTTATATTGTTATGTTGTTATGGTGTTATGGTGTTATATTGTTATGGTGTTATGGTGTTATGGTGTTATGTGTTATGGTGTTATATTGTTATGGTGTTATGGTGTTATATTGTTATGGTGTTATGTGTTATGGTGTTATATTGTTATGGTGTTATGGTGTTATATTGTTATGGTGTTATGGTGTTATATTGTTATGGTGTTATGTGTTATGGTGTTATATTGTTATGGTGTTATGGTGTTATATTGTTATGGTGTTATGTGTTATGGTGTTATATTGTTATGGTGTTATGGTGTTATATTGTTATGTTGTTATGGTGTTATGGTGTTATATTGTTATGGTGTTATGGTGTTATATTGTTATGGTGTTATGCTGTTATATTGTTATGCTGTTATATTGTTATGGTGTTATGGTGTTATGGTGTTATGCTGTTATGGTGTTATGGTGTTATATTGTTATGGTGTTATGGTGTTATGCCGATTTCATTAACGATGGAAGATGATTAGTACGGTGGCTGGAACGTGCAAACCAAAATTACAAAGTGTGAAACAATTTTACAAAGCTTGAGACAAATTTAGATTTTTTTTTGTTTTGGAAAGCATTTTTACATTTTATAAAACAAAATTACAAAAGCAAAACTTACAAATTTACAAATGTTTGAATCTTACAGAAAAGGGAATGTACCAAATGATGGAAGTGACCGGTCAATTAGTTAATTTTGACAGGAAGATTGTGTGAAATGCATTATACAGAGTTTATAATGACCGGAAGGAAATGGACAAGATGGAAGTGCAATACTCTCTTCTATTTCGCACACTTCTGCAAAGATAAGATGATGGCTACAGATCTATCACCTTCCATCTTGTCTGCATCCTTTAAAAATTCTAGAGAACGTCCACTCGACACAAAAAGCAAAATTGTGTTAACTGTCTCTCAGACGGGCTCCACAAATTGAACACAACATCATTTGGTGTTCTGCTTGTCAATTCTTCTCAGCACTCGTAAAAGTGGTTTACAACTTGTTTTCAAAAATGTACATTTTGGCTGTCCTTTGTCAAACTGTTTACACTTTATAATTGTGGTTTGCACTTCCAAGCCACCGTAGTTTAGGGCCAAGCGGGAGAAATAAATAATAAGAGGAGGAAGATTTTTTTGTCTTAATGCACTTTGAGAAAAAAGACTAAATGTGAAGAAGAAAACCTTTTTCCCGTTCGGGGACGCGGTGGGGCTGGAGCCGATCACAGCTGTCATTGGACAAGAGGCGGGGTTACACCTGGACTGTTCTCCAGCCAATCACAGGGCTGACATACAGAGCCAGACTGTGTGGCAACAGGGCTAACCACTGCATCCAGTCATAATGTCACAAAACTGTATTTAGACTGAATTGTATACATTCTGACTTTACTCAAAGTGCATAATGGAGAAAAAAAAAACCTCCCTCCTATCCTTTTTCATTTCTCATGTCTGGCCTCAATCAGCTTCCGTATTTTACTGATTTTGACATCCCAATTTACAACATCTACCCACAAAATTTCCAATTCGTTATTTTCTAAATTGTTTTCCAGCACTGACAACCACCAATTTATCTACAATATTTTGAATTAAATATATTTGGCAAAATGTTGGCTATTCCTCTGTTGTACCTTCTTTTTAATGCCAAGATATAAAAAAGTAAAGTCTCTGTGACGGGATGTTATTAGTGCTTGTGTATGCCAACGTTCAGAGCTGACAGATAATAATAACCCAGATCATTTAAATGCACAGATGAGGAATGTCGATAATCCGGTGCAGCAAAAACGCCTGAAAACATTTCGGCTGCCAGTGAACCATCCTGAAGTGTCTCTGTGGAGACTACCTGCATGTTCTGCTGGTCAGGACTACAGAAACCCTGTGCGTCCAACGCTGCTTAACCCAGAACCGGAACGAAGAGTAGTGAGGATACCCGAACCCCCGGTAACCATGGCAACAGACTCAGCGACACGCCGGTTTGTTTGGGGGCTCGTGCTTCTCTGTGTCCAGGTTTTGCCGTTGGAGAGCAATTTAACAAGGTGAGATTTTTTTTTTTAAACTTTAAATTAGGCTAATAATTCTATTTTTTTTATTCAACTTTTATTGAATCAGGAAAGAAAACTCATTGATATTAAAAATCTATTTTTTAATAATCTCGGTGTGATGTTTCTCTAAAGTGTTGTTATAGTAGCTGCAGATTATTGTCATTTTTTTGAGGTGTTAATAAAATTAATGCAAATTTTATTTCTCTTTAGTGGCAGATGTTAGGCCAAAGCTCTCAGTTACACATTTATAGTGTTTAATAATGACATAAATTTAGTCATTTATGTCAGTCTTTAATTTTTAGACCTATAACATGCGTCAGTAGGATGAAGCAAGTTTGAGCCATGATAACAGATCATTTTAAATATCCAGAACTGGACCTGTGCTGTGGAAGTTATTTATACATACACAGACATTTTAATTAAAATTAAATGTAGCCTATTAAGTACATTTTCTAAAATCACAAAAGACTCTCAGAGAACACAACTTGGCACAACAATAAAACAACCCCCCCCCCCCCCCCCCCCCACCTCCAAAATAAATTATTTGCTAAATCACAAGGTTGACATGACAAAGATTATTGGCTGAGTGTCTTAATGAAGGCTGAACCCAGTTTCATTTCCCCTCAGGGATGTAGGCATGGTCCGGCTCCTGGCTCATCCTGTTCTGTTCACACCTTCCACACCATGAAGGCAAGAATACTTCAGATATATTCAGAATGAATCATTCATAATACACACTAAAGCTTCAGAGGGCTGCAGAAGAGTATGAGGGAGTGTCCAACTGACAGGGACAGGAGACGCTGCAGCATGCACTCAAGCCATCTAAAGCATCACGACAAAAGGAAAAGAGACATTAAAAGAAGAGGAGGATGAAGGTCATTCTGCTCTTAGTTGTTTAAATTAATATTGTGCAGACAGGTACATGAAGGTAGACAGGTATAAGGGACGGGTTTGGGCTTGAAAGCAAAGACATGAGGGACTTCTTTTGGATGGCTTTTCTAGAGGTTGACTTGTTGCTGTTTTCTTACAGCCAGATACTGATTTGGAAAAAAAATAGATAAAAGCATCATCACACAGCTGCTTCGGGAACGTCTAGACATAATGATGTGCAAAAAAAAAAGAGAATCGGGCTGTTTTTGAAACCGCCTTCTACATACTGTTGCCGTATCTTCTGCATAATGTGTTCAAAAGTAGTGTGTAGTATGACCGCCAGTCGCTGGTTATTATGCGGTATACCAGACCAGCTAAGCTGGTTTCCATTCTTGGAATGAGGGCGTAAACAATAGTCCAGCTGACAACGATAGTATAGCATCCACCAAGTTATTTAGAGCAGAAATGAACATGTTTACAGCCTGGTTCAAATAACCAAATAGGTCTGATTAGTTATTGTTCTGGATTTTTCTTTAAAGTCTTTCTGTGATTGTTCACACTTAAATATAATATAAATCAAGTATCTCCTCTGAAAATAACTCTGTGAGTCATGACTGTCTACAATGGGTGTAACACCCGAGTCCCACTGTCTGTGATGTTTTCAGAGTTTTCAGAGTCCTATCTTCACTTTGTTTACATCGCCCGGACAGCCGGCTGACTCCTCCCCTCGTGTATAAAAGTTGTTTAATTGAGGGACTAGAGAAAAGAAGAATAACATACTGTACTCACTGCTTAACTGTGTTTCTAGATCACGCTCATTTCAGGTAAATTTACATGCAGTGTGAAGATACCAGCAGAATAAAGATCGCTAGCATTAGCATGCTAACACAACAATGCAGCGCCAGTTGTTTTGGTTTCATGCTGGTGCTCAAGGGCGACATCTGCTGGATCAAAAAATCACATATAAAGCCTTTAAATAAGAAGCTGATTATATTGAATGTGATTTCTCTCCACAGATCCTCTACAAAGGCGGATGTTCTGACGCCATACAAAGAAGGCCATGGCCCCTCCCACTCCTATCACCACGTTAGAGACTGCCAGCATGTGGTCCATGGAAGCAGAACATTTGAGACCTGGCCCTCAGGTAGCCATGATGCCCTCCCTGTGGCCGAGTCCACTGTCTTCATATCAAACAAGCCAGGCAGGACGTCCCGCCGGGTCCACGGTCAGTGATCAGGTCAGCAGTTTCCGCCCTGTTTTCCATGCTGGCTAGTTTTTTGGATCAAGTCATCTTATTTTGAAGAATCTCTTACACTCCCAGGCCACATGGTGTTCGTTCACGACCCGCTGAAGACCGTGTCGGTGTTGGAGCCGGGAGGGCCGGGCGGCTGTGAGAGGAGCCACAGGGTGACAGTGCAGGAGACGGCGGAGGCTGCCGGGTGTCTGTACGCTCTGAACGCCGGCTTCTTCAACACCACGACCGACGGTTGTCTTGGCAACGTGGTGAGCGACGGTAAACTGGTGAGGGACAGCCAGGGGGTGCAGAACGCCCAGTTTGGCATCAAGAAGGACGGCAGCCTCGTGTTTGGGTAAGAGAAGAAAACTGACCCCAAAAATAAGCCCCAATATAATATAAGACTTATATAAAGTAATCCATCTGTCCAGGTATCTGTCCCAGGAAGATGTGTTGGACCAGTCAAACCCGTTTGTGCAGCTGGTCAGCGGTGTGATGTGGCTGCTGAGGAACGGGGAGGTTTACATCAACCAGAGCCTGCAGGCCGAGTGTGACAAACTGGTGGATCAGGGTAAAGCTGCAGGGAAACATCAGCTGAAAATCAAGAGCATTTCAAACACAGCAGGGCATTTATTGTACTGACTGCTCTACAAGAAGTACACACAATCAGAAACACCTCACACATAGGGATGCAGAGAGATTATGATGGTACCAACATTAGTTGTTTTTTAAATGTGCAAATGTTAAAAAAAAATGCCAGACAATATGCAAACAAAACTGTCGAGGACATTAAAGACCAAAACATACTGCAAAATACTGAGACATCAACTAGTATAGACTTTAAAAAACAAAGACATTTTTAAACTCTAAGAAATAGTAATAAATAACTTTAAGAAATAGTAATAAATAACTTTAAGAAATAGTAATAAATAACTTTAAGAAATAGTAATAAATAACTTTAAGAAATAGTAATAAATAACTTTTAGAAATAGTAATAAATAACTTTTAGAAATAGTAATAAATAACTTTAAGAAATAGTAATAAATAACTTTTAGAAATAGTAATAAATAACTTCAAGAAATAGTAATAAATAACTTTTAGAAATAGTAATAAATAATATGTATGGTGGTCTTGAGAGGGAGAGGAGAGAATTGAGAAGGGGGTTTATGTGTGTGTATTTTCCTCTATGATTGTGTTGATGTTGTACTCATGTTGTGATTTGAAAGGTAAAAAAAACAAAAAAACGTTTGTATCTTAACAGAGGTGTTCAGGGATTTTGTGGATGTGCTGTCAGCGAGGACGGTGGTGGGTCACGACGCCCAGGGCAACCTGGTCCTGTTTCATGTGGACGGACAGACCAACGAACGAGGGTAACATCACATGTTTTTATATATTTGACTCTGTGGGATGGGATGAGACTCATACAGATTCCAACATGGATGCAGACTGGTTAGCACCAGGAATAGTTGCAGTTCTTGCGGGGACTTTTAGGGGCCAGATGGGAGGGTAGGTAGTATCTGCTTTTTCACTTCCTGGAGCTAGCATCAACAGAGCCTCGGCCTCTTAAAGGTGGGCTATAGGGTCATGTAACTGTTCAGTAGGGCTTAGGAGCATGACTGGGATGAGGGGTGTCTTCACTGAGCACTTATCTTTTCATCAGGGCATCAGTACTCTGTGGTTATTTCAAATCTATCAGTGTTTATGAATCAGAATAAACATGTGAGGCATTTCTATTTGTTGTTCATCCGTCCTGCTGGCCAGAACGCTCTGTGTTATTCAGATCATCTGTCAGCAGTTCCTGTACACTAACAATCATGTTTTTTTTGGTTCATGAGCAGCATGAGTCTCTGGGAGGTGGCAGAGTTCCTGAAGACAAACGGCGTAATCAATGCCATCAATCTGGACGGAGGCGGGTCTTCCAGCTTTGTTATCAACAGCACGTTGGCCAGCTACCCGGCGGACAAATGGTGAGCTAAGAAAAGCTGGACTGTCCTTATGTGACATTTATGATTATAAAACCAGGCCCTATTTTGTTTGAAAGAGTCATGGGTTCAAACTAGTTTTGCTCTGCTTCAGTAGATTTCTTTGTCCCGAGCTGTGAAACAGATTATAATGGATGTAATCTAATTCTGTGGAACAAATGTGACCAGTCAAAGAAGTAGTTCTTGTTTTGGGCCCTGACAGGCTCAGAGTCTTTTTGCAAGTATCTGACAACATTACAGAAACTTTTTGAAAGGCATAAAAGATTTTAAAACCAGAAACAGACTATTAAATCTCTTTCTTTAAAGGTCACATTTCACCATGTTCTCTAACTCTAACATGTGTCTCTAGTCCGTCTACAAACCCCCAATGATGAGAAAAGTCCATCCTCTCCATCTTCTGCCTGCTCTACTTTTCACCGTAAACAATAGGACATGGAGCGAGAAAGCACTGAGTACACCCAAGCCCTTCCAGAGAGGGGGCGTGGTCAGACACAGCTCATTTACATATTTAAAGGTACAGACACAGAAACAGCCTGTTCTGAGCAGGGCTGAAATAGAGGGGTTTATAGACATGATCAAATACAGGATCAGAATGGATTTAGAACAAGAAACTTCACACACATGTTTTGAGGAGCTCTGACACTTATTTAAACTGGATGAGAAGGAGGATCAAATATGACCTTTAAAGACTTAAGACTCCTTTGGAAAAAACATTTCCATCAATTAAAAGATGATTAATCGTTACAGCTTTAACTGCATGTAGCAGAAACATTACAAAAAACCTGACCAGCACAAAACAACGATTTGAATACCCTGACAGGTTAAACTGTTTGTCTACACATGTTGTCTGATTTTCTAAAAGAACATCTTTAGCTGCTTGTTAAAACCCATTTGATGCATCCTCCATCTCTGTTCCCAGTAAATCTGACAGCAGGTGGCGCTGTGCTCGGCCTGTCTCCACCATCCTGTGTGTTCATCAGCGGCGCTGCAAGCCGGAAAAATGCAGCAAAAACGGAAAGTGTGTGGACGGACGCTGTCGGTGTCAGGAGGGCTGGCAGGGAGACGCCTGTGACTCTCTAATGTGTCAGCCTGCAGCATGCAGTCCTCACGGCGTCTGCACACCGGGTGAGTGTGGAGGAGGAGCTTAGCTGCAGCAGAAACACAAATGATTGATGGAATGTGTAATCACAACAATTACAAGTGAAGAGATACTATATCACTTTGACATTAGGCTGCTCTGACTGCTGATTTGTTGTGTCAAGGACAGGACCTTTAAGGTTGTGAGTTGTCCTTAAGAGACAGCAGAGAGTTGAGGAGTTTTGTTTGCTACACTTTAAAAGTTGTGCCTTTTAAAGTCTCATCACCTGAAGGAGTTATTAAAATCATTATCTTTATAAAAAAGTTTTTATTACAGCCAAATCTGAATCACTTTCCCATTCATATTTGACCCTTTTCCATAATCTCCCTGAGAACACAGATATGTACCTCTGACTCCTAGTGTTTAAAATGTGTACTGCAGTCTAAATTCTAAACATTGTAGAGAGCTGTCCCCCCCCCCCCTCCTCTCTAGAGTGGATGCTCACTCAGGTCACCATGTGGTGGACTCTGAAGCTTCAGTGTTTATCCAGCTCTGCATGGGTCTGTAAACCTTTCTGTGTTCTAACCTCTCTCCATTTTTCAAAAGCATCTCCAATATTGATCCTAGTTTGAGCACGTTTCTGCTCGTGGAGCTTATTAGAAACATGCAGAGGCTTTTTAGGTCGGGTACAATCACTTCTATCTGAACCACTTCTCTTGTTAGTTTGACCTGATAACTGCTCTCATATCTGACAAACCGAGGGGTGTCCAAAACGGCCATGTAGGGGGTCGCCTTAAAAGCGCCTACCTTCTCTTGTCCAAACAAAATCCAGAGCATTCAGGAGCAGAATCTAAAGTTAGAAGGAGGACATACTGGCTGCTGCATTGTTGTCAGAGAAGCCAGCACTTCAACATAGCATGTTTCCTTAATGATCATATAGTAAGATACCTTTATCATTTAGTTCAGTAGATATCTTACTGATTGGACCTTTAACATATTTAACATAAAATGTATGTCATCATATTTTCCACTGATGTACATCATGATGTGTTTTATGACTTACAGGTTTTATAACACTTGTTTGTCTGTCTCTCTTTATTACAGGTGGGTGTGTCTGTGATTCTGGATGGAGAGGAATGAACTGCAGCGAAGGTAAACAGAGATATCATCTGTCATTGCTATCTGTCATAATGCAACGCAGAGAACTAATAAAAAAGCTTTACTTTACTGAGAGGATGGACTTTTTTCATCATTGGGGGGTTTGTAGAGACACATATTAGAGTTAGAGGAACATGGGGAAGTGTAATTTGCATCATATGGGACCTCTAAAAATAACTAAAATCATCTGAGGTCCCTTTCTGTGTTTTCTTTGTCCGGGGTATAGAGTGCCTACCAGGTTTCTACGGCATCGGCTGCAGACAGACCTGCGTCTGCTTCAACGGAGCGTCCTGTAACCACGTCCATGGAAGCTGCATGTGTCCTCCTGGTTTCCATGGCAACTTCTGTGAACAAGGTAGGAAGGCACTACGCCAGGTAGACGATTTATAATTATAAGTATTAAATGAAGCAATCTACTGAAGCAAAGTCAAAACGTTGTGGACCTACTAACTATGAAGACTCTAAAATGTGTGAAATATGACAATATATATTTAAAGCGCTTCCATAACTCTAACTCAAAATCTGTGTGTGTGTGTGTGTGTGTGTGTGTGTGTGTGTGTGTGTGTGTGTTAGTGTGTCCTCCAGGTTTCTACGGTGTGTCCTGCGCTGAGAGGTGTCAGTGTGACGATCAGTGTCCCTGTAACCCGCTGACAGGAAACTGTGTTGTCAACATCGACGACAGGTTAAACCAAGGTGACACAAAGAGACAGATAACTCCTGCCTTATGGGAACATTTCCAGATCATTTAATTCAACGTGTTACTCTTCTTCTTTCCTCTGCAGGTCGATGTTTGGCGAAACAGTTGTTTACATCATGGCAGGACCTTTACAGAGACAGACCTTCTCAGACAAAGTAATTCATCCTGAAGCATTCTCTTTGTTTTCTTATCCTTCATTTCAATGACTCTGTTCTTGCACAGTCTACCAAACTTAAGGCTCAAATATTCTTGCTTTTGAACCTCGCGTATTTAGTTTATTCTTATCCTGTCTCAATGAAGGAACGGACAAAGTAAAGAAAATTAAATTGTAAAAAATATTTTCATTAACTGAGGCTTTACCAAAATAAAAGTATGACAAGCTGACTCTGTATCTTGTTTGTAGTTTTTGTCTTAGACACGAGCACACTGAGTGACACACAGCCTGTCCTACAGTCTCTCTCAGGAATGTGAGTTTTTTATTTTTGGACGACCTTGCTGTCAGCAGAAGTTACAGTTTTTCCCCTTACTCATAGAATGTTTTAAAGGATAAGAAGTTGCTTGATATCTTCCTCTGAACCATTATCGTTAGAGAGAGACAAAATAACTCAAACTAACAAACCAGCACTCTCACATTCAACCCTTAATGAATGGTTTCCTTTGGTTGCTTTCACAAATAATCTGTTAATAATCCAGTCTGTAACCTGACACTAAGCCTGAATTTAAACTTTCCTCTTCTCCCTGCAGTCAAACGTGGCTGATAGTCACCGTCACTCTGGCTCTCTTTCTGTTGATCCGACTGGCTGTTCACCTCCTGCGGGCGAGTCGGAGGTGGTTCCTCTTCAGTTATAGATACTTTCCCCTGAGCAACATCAGCAAACAGACGCCGCTCGCTGCAGCTGTACAGAGTCTGTGAGATGCTGCAGACATCCTCCTAACAGACGTGAAAAACAGAAGACGGAGACATTTTGCGATGATGCAAATAGCAGCAATCCAGTGACAGGAAAACCGTCCACTGGATGAAGGAGAAAGAACAATGAGTTGGTGCCCTGTTGACCCACACTGGGTCCATTTTTAGCTCTGAATTTGTATAAAATATGATATAAAACCAACTAAAAAGACTGGAACACCTGAAATAGTTGTTCAGCGTTTTGAAGAGTGTCAAATTCGGAGCTCTGATCTGGTCATTTTTCTTGATTCGGACATTAATTCAGGATTCAGCACCCAGTTGTTATACTCTGTGAGGACGTTGAGTTGTTTCAAACCAAAACAACCTCATCCAAACTGGGGTTGGTTTGCACAGACCTCGCCAATCACGGTTTAGAATCTGGACTGCAGTACCCATTTTAAACACTAGGTGTCAGAGTGTGAGGTAATCAATCAAATACATTTCTGCCTCTGTAGATTCAATGTAAAAGAATGAACACATTTTCACTCTATATAGATATGATTGAATCTGGGGCCTGTTTGGTTCACTGTTTGTTTTCCTTTTGTTGTTCTTCATGTTCACAGTCATGTCTGCGCACGTTGTTTGATTTGGCAATGAACTTTATTTAACAAACACATTTACACAAAGTGCAAATAGGCTGTACAGTGACTCCAGGTACAAAGACGGAACAACATAACAAAACACGAACATTTAGTTACGTGGAGCACAAATTAATATTTTTAATAGCTGTTTTATTTTTGGTTGAAGTCGTCGTTTTAATGTATTTGAAAGTTTCTTTACAAAAAGCCAGAAAGTGGTGTTTTTTATGGTACATTTACCTTTATTAATGTAAAACTTTGCTAGAGTCAGGAGTTTAGTGACAGTCATGAGACTACACTGCGTCAAGTTACTACAGTACGTCAGAAATACCGGAAATGTGCCTATCAAAACAAAATTAGGAAGATAAAATTTAAAAGTTAATGTTAGAAAAGAATAAGAATTTTAATGTATGTGTTTTTTTAATGCATGACGAAACAATTTACTATTATTTCCTTCTTAACATAATCAATATGAATATATTCTTACATTACTTTTGTCCCTGTTGGGAGACAAAAAGTTGCTGCACAATGAATATTTTCCATAATAATGTTCAAATAATGTTTGATCATTGAGGAAGAAGGTTGTGCAAACGACTAGTCTTTTTAACTTGTACTTAATTGGATTTTAAAGTCTTTGACGTTCGATATTTATCTTAAAAAATGTATTTAAAACCAACAATAAATAAAAGTAAAGCGAAAATATAGAAGTAAAGATTAAAAAAAGAATGACAAATTGTTAGGTGGGGGTTGTTTCTGTTTGTATAAATCCAATGAAGAGATCGTGAAACAGACTGGAGATTATAACACCATTTAATCGGCCGAGGTCAGACAACTTCATCAAACAAGCACGCTTCCAAATCACTTGACTGACAAAGTGCTGACAAAGTAACAGTGTTCACAGTGCTGCTTATATTCTGTCAAAAAGGTGCAACCCACAAATTCCTTTCTATTTGGGTGCATCACCATAAAACAATAAAGATGACATGACACTGATTTGTATACTAACAGATGTAGACTCTCTGTCTAGCAAACAGTTGTTGACAACATATAGTTGGCTCCTATCCAAACATAGATCTGCTACTACTTAGGTGCTTCACCCATATAAGGTTACAGCTTCAGACACCTAAAGGTAGGAGTGTTAACACGTGGTAGGCAGACTTCAATAATACATTTCACAAAGTTACCAAGATAAATGAATTTCATGAAAATTCGTACTAACACAAATATATCACAACGTAAAATCCTTTTTTAAAGAATGTTTTAAGAACAAAAACAAATCGCTCTGACTGTTCCCTATTACGGCTTTTATTTTGTAAGCAACCGGAAGTTCCCTGGTTTCGTTTGTTTACCTTGAAGCTGCGCGCTAGCTTGATGGCGATGCGGGGAACACTGGGAGGAGAGATTGACAGGCTAGTTCTCCTCCTCATATGGCAGAAGTGTCGGTGAAATGTCCGTTAGCGTGTCTGCTGCTGCTGTGGCTCTGCGTCCGGCTGACCGAGACCAAAAACACCCGGTAAGAACCCCCCGTCCCCGCCCCCCGTCCCCGGTGCTACCGGTTTGAGCTAGCCGCTAATGTTAGCCTGCTAGCTGTTAGCCTAGCCTGAAGAATGACAGAAGTCTGTACAAACTAGTTTCGGTTCCTTTTTCAGTGACAGTTGAACTCGCTGGATGAGAACATTTTTGATAAAATATTAACATTTAAAGAAACATTTTTTGTTACAAACTTAACATAAAACTAATTCAAAAGATGTTTTTAAATCAGCTGTTTAAACTCTGATCACAGGTCAAAGGTCACTTCTTTGACTGACTGACCTTTAGACTCTTAATCTGAGTAAACATTCAAACAGGTTAAATTTGATTAAACACAAAGTATATCAACTGAAGCTGTTTAATATACATGTTTCACTTTATTAGCATTTAATCTTCACTGTGACGTCACAGTTTTCAGGTAATTAAACCTATCTAAAGGTGAGTCCTGTCCTGTCCTGTCCTGTCCTGTCCTGTCGTCATGTTTTGGTTTCATTCTTCAAGTGAACTGTTTATCAGTTGTGCCTGTAGTTTGAGTTGTAGGCCACACGATGGCGCTGTTTAATCACATGTTATAACAATTACCCAGCAGCACCCGAAATAATGAAAAGTGATGGAAGATTGTGAATATGAAAAACACTTGACTTTCTTCTGATTTAAAAAAAAAAAAAAAAAAATAGACTAGAATAGAAACTTGAACCAGAACACCTCTGATCGAGTTTTCTTTAAAATGCTTTGTGAATATAATCTTCAGTAATTTTCCTTTCCATCCTTCGGTGCTGACTTTAAAAGTGGGAAACCGAGTTTTCAGAATCAGAGTTTTTCTTATTGCCAAGTACATTTACACACACGAGGAATTTGACCTGGTGTTTTTGTGAAAAACAAAAGGCTAAGGAAATATAAAGAACAGTACTCCTGTTGACAACTTTAATAGAATGAGATACAAATGCAACAAGCAATTACAAATGAATATAATAGAATATAAAAATATAAAACCATGTTCAAAAGGTGCAGTTTCATATCAAACCTTTAAGCAACACAAATCATTTAGATGTCTTAAATGAGGAAAAGAATAATCTCAAATTGTAGTACAAGAAACAGAAGGTGTACCACATAATTAAGCTAATATTAAATAAAACAACTCAATGATGAGCACATGTCTTAACTGATTTAATATGACTTGACTTGCTTGAGATTTGAAGGTTGAGACTTTAGACTTGCTTGTGACTTGTACATCATGTGACTCACTACCATGTCTGGTAAAAACAATCACACACTGTGTTGAAGAGGTTTGAGATCATTGTCTTAATTTGTCCAAAGAAACAAGAGTGTCAGTCTTGAGAGGGTTTTGTAAATGTTTCCCCATTTTTGGAAGCGAAAAAGCTAAATGCAGATTTTTCAAGTTCAGAGAAATACCTATGGGACTTGAAGCAATAGTTGTGCAGAATTTAAAATAAAAATATCTTTCAGTAAAAGTCTCCTCACAGTGTGCATGTAAACAGAAGATAATAAGTCATGTGCGTTAATGTAACACGTAAACCAGTTCCAATCTTCACATTACTATGATGTTCTCTGACTGTGGGGCTAGATGAGAGTCTGTGTTATGTGATGGGGATTCAAACCAGGAACCTTCTCGCTGTGAGGGAAAAGCACGAACCACTAAACCACCGTGCCGCCCTATTTAAATTATTCTATAGAAATGTATTTGAACTTTTGGCTGGCTGCTACTTTTCCAGACATCAAAAGGTTGCTGTTATCTTTAAAATAATTCAACCTCAGGGCTCTTAAAGTTCATCTGTTCCTCTTTTTAACCCAGCATCTCTGTTTCTTGATGAAGCATGACATAAAGTACACAATCTGTAGCAGAGAGAATCACTCCCATGATTCCCCGCCCTGCAGCCTCCACGTCAGTGTCTGTTGTTGTTTTGACCCCTGGCGGCAGAATTTACATACCGTGTGTTTAAGGCACAAACTGATAAGAAACATGCCAATGCAATAAAGTACAAGTGATGCCAGAGATGATTTAAACGGACTCTGCAGAAAGAGGAAGTGCAGAGGGAAGAGAGACGCTTTAAAAACAAGATGTTGCACAAACCTGACTGGATTCAAAGAGAACAAAAACACAAAGTGAGGACGTGTTGATGTAAGGTAAAAACCTGACCTTGTTTTGCAAAGCAGTCATGTCTTACAACACACACACACACACACACACACACACACACACACACACACACACACACACACACACACACTATGCAGCCTTGACATTGCAGTTACATAACCGTCGTCTCCTCCCCCATGTGGTGACCTTAACCTGACCTTGTTTTCATGTTTGCCAATTTCTGTTCGTTAAAATTGAAGTTCAAATTAAAGTGTTTTTATAGCAGAGTGCTGCACAGGGTTCCTGTCACACACACACACACACACACACACACACACACACACACACACACACACACACACACACACACACACACACACACACACACACACACACACACACACTCACACAAACAGCTCTGCTCTTACCATCAGCAGCAGCCCCACATTGGCCCTGACTCATATTGATTTTTTTGAGAACTCTCTGGCATCTGGCGTGCAGATTGTTGATGAGAAAAATGAACATTTCACTGTTTTTATGTCCGTCAGTATCTCATAACCACACCAGTTCAAACACTGCAAGTTGATTCAGCATATTTCAAAAGACAACCTCTACATTTTGCAAAGTCACATTTCACATATTTATTTGGCTCACTTCATCGCAGAAAGGAAAGTTAAATCAGAGGATTTCATTTTTAGATTTTTATATCTTTTCTTTCTGGGTTAAGGTTAGATCATCCCGTCGTGTCTGTGTGAGTCAAGTCATGGAGAAGTTCATCAACAGATAATAATCATCATGTTGATGAATCTCTCAGCGTCTCAATGGTTAAACATTTTGTAGGTCCGGCTAGAGAAGCATCGATCGTCTTTAAATTGTTTTTTATTCTTTTAAAAATATTCAGTCGACCTTTTTTTTTCTTTCCTCGCAGCGTCTCGATGGAAGATGACCTCCTGCTGCCGTACGCCGAGGGTCACGGCCCTGCCCACTCTCACCGCTACGTCAGGGACTGTCAGGCTGTCACCCACGGCAACACCACCCACGAGAGCTGGCCGACCAGGAGCCATGGCGGGCTGCCGGTGGCCGAGTCCACCATGTTTGTGTCCAGCGTGCCGCAGAGCTCCAGATGGGTTTACGGTCAGTGATGGAGTTCAGACCCGATGTGATTATCTGTGTTGACTCTGGATCTGATCCACGTCTGATGAACCTCTTGATTTATCGATCACCTTTCTATATTTATTTACTCCCTGACCTTTGACCCATCCATGCACAACAACACAAACACTGTTCTTTAGTAAAGTTAAACACGTTTAAACGTCTGAGTCTTCAATACCTCATAAATTAATCCATAAAGTTATGCAGAAAAGGTGAATTAAATCACATCACATAAATTACATCTTTAGTATACATTTTAAACTTTATTTTTATGACTTAACGATTTTTAAAACATCACAACAGAACAGTTTCTACTCCCTATTAAGACTCAGGGGTCTGAAACCGCCACTTTCAAAGTAAAGTCCATAAATATTTAATTAAAGTCAGGGTTGGTAATTTCCTCCAGAGTCACTTTTTTCAGATTTTGGTGTAAATTGTCTTTAAGTCCTGACAGAGATTAATAACTCATGTTCTCTGAAAAAAGAACAAAGGAAATCCATCATCTGTATCAGTTTGTAAGTCTGTAAAAACTTCAACCAATGTCTGCCACGAGGTACCAATCTGATGAACCAATCAGACGCCTCCCTGTCTCCCTGCTCGCTCTCTACCTCTTGCGTGCTCTAGCTCACACTCAAAGCTCGTCACCGATGACTTTAGGAGTTTATACTGAGAGTTTACTGACCGCTGAATGAGACATGAGACGACGTAGTTTCTACACAATGACAGAGATGAGCTGAGGTCCACTTCTGGAGGGACGGCGCCTGATGTAAGTGAGGGGGCGTGGCTTTAGAGGGAGCACAGAGGGAACACTGAACTGACTTGATATCGTTGTAAATGAGGCTTGTCCCCTCAATGATCTCTCAAGTATAAATTGATTGTTGTATAGATTTTTATATTTTATTCATCCGTCATTTTAAAAATGTCATCACTCATTTTCTTAATCTTTTAAAGATTTAATGGTTTGTGTCACCTTTCACCTTCACCCGCTCCGATAATAAACAAAATGCTCTTATTATCAGTCGCTCAGAAGATGCTACATTTATTTATGTATTACTGTTTATAACTCAGGCCTTTCCTTCGTCTCCAGGTCACATGACGGTGGTCAACGACCCGCTGAGGACGGTGTCGGTGTTGGAGCCGGGCGGTCCGGGCGGCTGCGGGATGAATCAGAGAGCGACCGTGGAGGAAACGGCGGCGGCTGCAGGATGTCTGTACGCTCAGAACGGGGGCTTCTTCGACACAAAAGAAGACAAGTGTCTCGGGAACCTGGTGAGCGACGGCAGGCTGGTGCAGGACAGCGGCGGGATTCAGAACGCTCAGTTTGGGATCAGGGAGGACGGCACCCTGGTGTTCGGGTAAGAGACGATAAACCACAGATACATTTACTACGAGATGTGTTTACGCAGCTCAGTCAGAAACAACAAATCTGACTTTTCTAGAGATTGTCTCACAACGTGCGGCCGTAGATTTGAAGCTTAAGAAATTCCTGAAGGTGCATCACGACTTCAGGAATCACTGAAGCCAAATGATGTCAACACCTTTCTTTTTTTGATAAGGCTCTTGCCACCATTCGTCACCAGTTATCACCAGTCTTGCGACATATCTTCCCCTAAAGTTGCAAATGGTTTCTCTCTTTTTTCAAGGCAACATCCAGCGAGAGCAAAGTCCGATGAGCCGATTATTTCTGTCTCTCACAGCGTGCATTGCTCTCTGAGATAAAGATCATAAAACTCACACAGATATCGACTCTTCTGAAGCTTTAATATCCGTCTGTTTACATAGTTTAAAAACACACAGCTGTTGTTGAGCACGCTTTGTGGATTTTTTACGACTCCTGGACTTGATTTCACCTCAGCAGATCGAGGCTGCAGAAAGATAACAAGCTGTTTGTGACCCGCTCAGAGTCTTAACCCAAAGAAGGAGTTCCACTTTAAGCTGTGGATTTGGAAAAAGATAGAATTACCAGGAATCTTGATTTTCTAAAATATGTATTTCCTTGTTGAAAAACAGGTCTGACCTCTTCCACAGGTGAATGAGTCACTCTGACCAGGTGTAAACAAGCCCAGCTGTTGCATCACACCGGGTCCAAAAGTTGACATATTCAAAAAAGTGGCATGGAGCAATATTTTATGCAACAGTTTGTGTGGGTGTTGAGGGTCAAACGTCTAGGAAAAGTGAAGCTGGAACAAAATAAGGATGCATGCAGAAAAACACAAGCTGGGTGCAAACGAGGGCTGCACGATACGAGAAGAATCTGCGATAACAGGTTCAACTCAGGTTCTTTATCTATCTGCTGTTCTGAATGTTTTATACAACATGCCCCTTCTGAATCCAAATAAATCCCCAAAACTTTTTATTTTCATCCACTTAAAGACTTTAAATGCGATTTTTTTGATCCAGCAGATGTCGCCCTTGAGCACCAGCATGAAACCAAAACAACTTGCGGTGCATTGTTGTGTTAGCATGCTAATGCTAGCGATCTTTATTATGCTGGTATCTTCACACTGCATGTAAATTTACCTGAAATGAGCGTGATCTAGAAACACAGTTAAGCAGTGAGTACAGTATGTTATTCTTCTTTTCTCTAGTCCCTCAATTAAACAACTTTTATACACGAGGGGAGGAGTCAGCCGGCTGTCCGGGCGATGTAAACAAAGTGAAGATAGGACTCTGAAAACTCTGAAAACATCACAGACAGTGGGACTCGGGTGTTACACCCATTGTAGACAGTCATGACTCACAGAGTTATTTTCAGAGGATATACTTCATTTCTTTTTAAGTGTGAAAAATCACATTTAAAGCTTTTAACTGACACTAGAGAAATCCAACGGTAGCAATAGCTCGCTGCAGCTTTGTCTGACTGCATCAAAATGGTTTGAAAGCATCAACATTATACGCAGGCCTCCATCCAATAGGAGCAATGTACACATGCTGAGGGAGGAAGCCCGGCTGTGTGTTAATGGTGAAGTGTCATCTAGCTAGAAAATAAGATCAAATTGAGATAATAAATTGCACAGCTCTGATAGAAACCTGTCAAAGGGGACTTTTCAGGACACCGTCTCAAAAACTAAATCTCCAAACGGCCTGTTTGAGCACACATTTTCTGAAAAGTGAAGCAGGCAAAAAGACGGAGAGGATGGACTAGGGACACATATTAGAGTTAGAAGTGGTGAAGTGGATTTAGCATCATAATGTGACCTTTAAATTCATCATATTGATCCAAAAACAGTTTCCATAAGAGGATCATACTTTCTGATAAGGCAGAGATCTCTCAGGTCATTTATGACGAGGTGAGTGATAACAGAGCCACTGTGTCCTCATGAAGAAGTCGTGCAGAGGTCTTAATGTCACACAAGGACGCTCATTTTAACCTGCAGGTGAGCTCGCAGAAAAACATTCAACACACAAAAACAACTTTTACAAACTTAAACAAATTCAAATGTCAAAATCCCCCATCAGTGATTCCACCAGCTGGTTTCACACTATCATACTGTAGCTGTGTTTAAATATAAAACACTTTCTGGCTGCTAATTTAAGGGGTTAGATAATTTAAGGTAAGTTGATCCCTTTCCCTAGAAGTAGAGGAAACAGTAGAGTGGTAAAAATAAGCTCAGAGTGCAGCGCCATGTCGGTTGTGTAACTGAACAGTGTGGCACCAGGCCAGAAGCCAACACATCATGTTTGGAGTTTAAAGTTGAGTTTAGACTGAGAGACATGAAGCTGCAGAGACGTGCTGAAGACGTTCTGGTTTTCATGAGCTGTGTCTGCTGGGTCACAAGAAAAACAGTCCTCGGAAAATTGTCAACTAACCCTTCAGCAAAATAAATGTTCGACTAAGTGATCGAGTTTGTTTCTGTGGTTTCTCCTTCTGTGAAAGGAAGGTGTCTTTCCTTCGAGGCCTTGTTGTTTCTTAGCTCCAATCAGTAAGATACCTCCTGAATGAAATGATAAAGGTACCTTACTATCTGATCAGACATTAAGGAAACATGCTATGTTGAAGTGCTGGCTTCTCTGACAACAATGCAGCAGCCAGTATGTCCTCCTTCTAACTTTAGATTCTGCTCCTGAATGCTCTGGATTTGTTTGGACCAGAGAAGGTAGGCAGTTTTAAGGCGACCCCCTACATGGCCGTTTTGGACACCCCTCGGTTTGCCAGATATGAGAGCAGTTATCAGGTCAAACCAACAAGAGAAGTGGTTCAGGTAGAAGTGATTGTACCCGACCTAAAAA